GGATATATTTCTTGTTGGTTATAAGGAGTGTGCCCTATAATTTTTAATGCTGGATATGTAAAGTCACTTTTATAAATCAGATTAAGACATGGCAACTTTAGTCAACGGTTTAGCGTAGGTCAGCAACTTTTTCTATACTCAACTAATGCAATGCTATTAGCACTGCTAATACTCCACCATGTATGATGAGGATGTGACAAATAGCAGCTGCACACTGTGCTGGCACTGAAGTGATGGATATCTTAATGTCTGATGCAGACTTACTGAATTTTGGAAGTAGATTGTAGCCTTCATGGCAATATGGGTATAGCACCCAAGTACCAATACAACACATTATATCATTGTTTCACCTTGCCTTGGAACCAGGGCATAAATAGGAGTCCCCACAGAGTTTCATTCTATAATTCACAGGACGTGTAAAACTTTTAATCAACCCTAATGATTCTCCAAAATATTTTCATCTCAGTGTTAATGACTAGATTGCCCCTTAACTGAGACAGATTTCATGATATTTTGTCTAGTTCTATTGCACTTTTAGTGGTTGGAAAGTTTCCATATAAGTTAATCTCTTGTCTCTCCTTCAGGAACCAAGGTCAACTATAGCATCAATTTAATATATGGCACTACATCTATAAGACTTCTGTATGCAGTTTCAGAGTGTGCAATCCTTTGTTAATATTAAATAGCAAAATCCCTTTAAAGACAATTAAAACTACCTTGATTTTTCTACCTTTTATTTGTCTCACAATTAAATCCAACCTCCTCTTGCTTTCTGTGCCTTGGAGGGTAAGAGTTCTTTGGTGCTACCTCTCTGTTCCCTGTTTAACACAGTCTTACTGCCCCTTGTTCTCTTACTCCTCATCTGTTTCTCTGCTGCTGTGCCTCCATTCTCTGTCTTCTTTAGCCAGGCTGGAAACACAGTTGCACTTCCACCCTCAGCTTTTCCCATACCCAATTAGACTTCCAAACATTCATTCCTGGCCAGTATTCCTCATACTGTCTTTATTATCAGATTTAGTATCCACTGTAGTAACCTTCACTGATGCTCTTTCTTAGCCAAACCTGAGAACTCCTTCCAATTCAGACTCCCCTTAATGCAGTCCTCAGGACCACTGTCACATTGCCACATCTTCTTGCTTTCCACCTTATCTTTTGGTGAGCGTGTGCTCTGCTTTCTACTTTTACCTCAAAGACTGTTCTCTTCAGCACCTCCTCTGGTAGATCCTCCCACTCCCTCTCCACTATCTGTTGGCACCCTTCAAACTTTCACTCTCAGTCCTCCTCCTTTTATCTTTATAGTCTCTATTTGGACTAACTCATCCTCCCCAACAGTGTTACTTACAACTCTTTTTTTGTTCTGATGTGCATTTCTGCCTCTGACATACCTTCTTCAGGTGTTACCTTGCTCATGTCTAACTCTCTTCAGATGAGACACCATAGCTGTCCCAAGGATGCTCTTTATTTTCCTTTTTTACTCAGAATTTTACTGTCCTTGATTTCTCATTCTGCCTTTGTCTCTGCATCTATACACTTATTAAATAAAATAATTTTAGTCCAGACAAGCCTACCCATTACAACTTATCTTCATTGCTAAAATACTTGTCCATTTCTGATCCCATTTCTGAGCATCTTTTTGCTGTTATCTAAAACAAATTTGCTAAACTCATCTTCACCTTCTCTTTTATAACCATGCCTTCTGCCAATCTGAATCATTTCACCTGCTTCATGATTCTGAACGTGTAATCCTTTTGAAAACCTTGGATAATCTATCCCTCCAATAATATGTTTGTTTTTTTTTTTTACTCCTGGGGTCTTCATTTCAATTTCTTTCCATTTGGTTCCTTACCATCTGGGGAGGAGTGAACATTCCTGTTTCTTCATTCTACCTCTGACACTGGCAGGCAGATTAATGCAATTAATGCTATCATGGTGCTCACACCTAACACCAGCACATAAGTACTAGAGGGATCACAAATATATGCAATGGGGTGAGGCTTCTGAACTGAACTTATTAAGTCCCATTGATTTAACATTGATTTATTTACACTGCTTTCCAAAAAACTCCTGTTGGTGCTGGTGACCTCCAAAAATATACTGTTGTCTCAGCCAGGGAAATAAAGAGCAGGAAGGTAACAGGGAGATAAAAAGCAAGAAGGTAATAGGGAGACTGGGTTTTTCTGTTCCCTATATGAATTGTGTTGGATGAAAGAATAGTCTTATTCCCTCGTGAGACAAAGTACGCACAATGCTGCAGAAGCCAGCTGGGAACATTAAAGTAGTGCAGCTGGAACACGTAGCCAGCATTTTAGCCCTGAAATAAGCAGTGGGAGAAGTAATGTCTTTGTCTTTTTATGTACTGTTTTATAAGATTGTCCTTTGTTCTATCTTACAGCAATAATGTTCATGGCATTCCAGCAAAAATTCCTTTTGCAGTGATTAAAACGCCGAGGTGTTTACTCTCAAATTCTGTGTTGCAGCCCTTTTTTTTTTTTTTTTCTCTTGAGCACCAATCTTTAAAAAGATGTGTCAACAAAGCTCAGTGGTACTGCCTTAATTCTGTCTCCCATTCTAAGGGATCAAGGTGGTGCAATGTCCTCCTACAGACAAAGCTTCAACTGCATTTTTAAAGACTTTGTGAACTGGTAGGTATCACCCTGGCAGCCTTGGAGAATGAAGTTCAGGTTTTCAACACAGAATATATTCAGTGCAGATTCCATGACATTTTCTTACTCACTCTGACCTGCAAATGCTGCTACCAGAGGCTAATGCAATAGTTAGCGGATTTGCTGCTGAGTTTGCAAACCAGGCTGTCAACTGTACATCACAACTCTGTATCAAAAAACTGTGATTGGTATTGTGATATACACTTGTAAAATACAGTTTTGTGATATAGACACCAGTATGCTTTAAACTAGAGAGCATTAAAACCGTTGGACCCACTTCTTGTAGGACATCAAGTAGCCATAAGATGATTTCCATTAACAGTTACTCTGTTCTGGAATTTAATTGAGGTACTTCAGTGGAAGAACGCTGTTACGTGAGATCTCTGGTTGTATGATCTCTATATCCTCAACTTCATTAATTTTCTTGTACCTTTAGATGTTTCCAAGATCATATTTGATTTGCTTACGGGACTGTGTTGATGCAGTGTAAGTGGATTATTCATATATTTTCCTAACTTGTAACTAAACAACTATATAAAATGATGGTGAAAGAAGAACTCCATAATGCATTATTAGCAATACACCTGTCATCTACCAGCATGTGATAATTAAAATACTTTTCTCTCACTTTTGGAGGGAAAAAAACCTTCTATGTTGAAGGATTTACGTTAAAAATTCAAATGGTTGTTTCCTGTTCTGTGACTGTAACATGCTTTAGTACAACCCAGCAGGATGACAGCCCATCGAAAATCCATAGAGTGAGAATAATCAGCTATTCAGGTTTACTGGAAAATGGACAATGGAAACTGTTAACATTCAGTATAAAAAGTTCACTCAACTTTTGAATTTATCATATGCACAAATGTTAATCACGTTTTTAAGTGCCCAAACTCTGCAAATTTTAAGAGCACAAAAGGAACTATTGTAACCTGTGAGACACTTGTCCTTTTCTTAGACTTTTCTTTGGCAGCCTCGGTAAGTGAGTGCTGACAGGAAGGCTGACAACACAAGTGCATTTCTGATGAAAAACACCGAGGACAGGATGAACGGTCAAACCTTCAAGAAAAGAATGGGGCCTTTTTGTTGTGGAAATGAAGCTGCGATAATGTTCCCAGACTATGAACTGCCAGTCTGGAATGACAAAAACCATAGGAGCTTTTTCAAATTCTTTATCAATGTCAGCAGATTTTTTTTTTTTTCTTCTTCCTGTTGGGGTTTTAGCTAAGAAAAATGTGAAAATTTATGTGAAGATTTTGTTTTTGTATATAGCTCTTAGCAACAGGGCTGGAGAACATAAAGGCAAACATTTTATTGTCCATTCAGGAGCTGATTAATACTGCTAATGGGAGAAAAATTCTGTGAGTCATTTTGTTTCCAGAAATTAAACCAGATTAAAAAGGGGTTAGTGTCTGTAGAAAGTTATCAGTGGACAGGAATACTTAGTAATCTTTACATGACTACTCTCTTGCATCTGCTTTACTCACCGAATGAAAGAGGCAGAACAGCCTGTAGCACAGTCTGTCTAAGGGTCTTGGTCATATAATGCCACAGGTATTGTTAATGTACGTATTACACTTCTATTAGCACCTGGATGTCATGAGGGACCTCAGTGAGCCCAGGATAACTGGGATATGTTGCTGGCCTCTCCTTCTCTGCCTCTTTAAAAGCCTTCCTCTCTCCTGCCTCTGCATCATCCCTTCCTCCCCATCCCCTGCCAGGACAGTATGGCATCTTCTTTGCATTGCCTCCTTGTCTCCATGGGGGAAAAAAATGTAATTTTTCCAGGTAGAGGAAACACTCAGGGGGAGATACAGGCTACCACCAATATTTATTGAAACCCAGTTTATAAATCAAGCTATTATGAACAATAGAATCAAGCTGTTAGTATTAATAGCAGGTAATTTGGTACCATCTGTTCAATTATCCCCCTCAATCCTTCATTTTAACCATGTTGAGTAGCAGTGGGGAGGCCAATCCTGGATGTTTACTGAGAAGCAGAGAACCATACTGATACACCAGTGTCTTTTAGGAAGGTCTTCAGAAGTCCCTTCCTTTCCCAGGCATATATAACCCCTGTAGCCTATGGTCTGTGTTTGCATGTAGCAGCTGCCATCTTCATTGGCTGTGGTCTGAGTTACAGAACCTGGGGTTCATGCTCTTGTGTGCTGATGGCCATGGACACATTCTGAGGACTCTGCTGTTCTGAATTTATCAGCTGTCTTAGATTAAAAAGGACCACAAGTTTCCAGAGCTTATCAGCTTTTGGGAGACTTTCACACACTACCTCTCCATGTGTACTTTTGCTGTTTTCTAGTTAACTGTTTCTGTTGCATACAGGTGTGCGTCTACAAAACCCATTCACACAAATTCACCAAGAAGAGGGGGTTGTGTCAGGATCAATAAATAGTTAAACAGCCCTTCTTCTGTCCCCTGCAGCATGAGGTGGACTCTCTCTTCATACCATCCCTGTAGAATATTCCTATATAGAGGTAAGTCTATGCTGTGTATTGCATTCGAGTTAGCTCAAGCACCAAAAGCATCTCCACCATGTCTTCATGGACCTTTGTGCATCTCAGAGAAGCCTGGTGACTTCACTTGTACAAATGTTGTCTTTAATGAGACATATTATTTAAAGCCAGCACAGATGTGTATCTTGCACTGCTACTGTCACTGTGCACGTACAGCCAGATAGAGCATTTGCCCTGAAGGCCACAGAATTATAGCCAGTATATAGTAAAGACAAATAGGAAAAAGCATATAGAAAAGGGCCAAAATATACTGAAGGTCTCCTAACCTGGCCTTCAACATGACCCTACAGATTATGCTACAGTGAATCAAACCTCCCCATTTTCTTAATATTCTGATTATTGCCTTTTTTTTCCCCTTAAGAGATTAAAACAGACCCACAAGATATAATGAACAAGTCAATGACAGATCCAGGCAAAGAGCCCAGAAATGCCTCGTGCCCAGTTGCCTGCCCTATGCATTAAAAATTCTTTATTATTTTTTGTTTCTTTTCTGCCAAAAACTACTCTTAAGTTCAGCATAACAGAAACTTCATTACTAAAAAACTTGTGGCTCAGTTCAGCTGAGGCAAGGCACAGTCCCTACACAGAAGGTCTGAATTTGGTCTTTCCCCTTCCCTTTGACGGATTCTTGTCCAGAAAGGCAGCATACCTCCACCCCATGAAATACATGAACCACAGATTTTTCAGCACTAATTATACAACCAGTTTTACTGGGTCTACTGAGGCACCCTCCATCCCTGCAGGTGTTTTGAAGACAAGATCAAGTCCCTTAGCAGTCAACAGGATGGAAATGTAACTAATTTGCACTTGCCAATTAAAGGATGAACTAGCTCTTCAGGCATTTTTTCACTAGAGATGGCCAAGAATTGGTAAAAAATGTATTATATTAGTAACTTTACACAAGCTTTGCAGGTATGGTAAGGCAAAAGATCGACAATACCCATAGGAAACAGAAAAGCAGTTCTTCCAAACTCTAACAATGCACAATCATCTGTGAATCTGTTGCATGGGGATTAAAATGAACAGTGTAACAAACCCCTCTGTTTTCCTGTCTCTGCCTATGAATAGTCATATTTTTCACTCATATCTGTATTTGTAATATTTTTGACTTAATCATCAGGCAATATATATGCAAGGAAGATAAAGCACAATTTCTGCTCACTGACCTTCCAGTCCTTTACCATATAAATTGTTTATCAAAACCTGTGGAATATTTTCTTATCTCCTGTCATCAGAAATTTCACGCTTCCTATGGGACTTGGTAGGATGTTTAATATAGACACTGCGTGGTGTGCTGATTGATGGGACACATTGCAACCCCAACAGCTTTCTGTGATTTAAAATGAAACAAACCACAGAAAAAACCAACAACCACACAACACTTCAGAAGCACGTGGGTTTGGAGCTATGATTCCCACCCGTGATGGCCTGGGCTCCCCTGGGGCTGGTTTCAGTACAGGGAGGAGGAATGGATAAGATTCCTCCCCAGACACCAAAGAGCAGGTCCCCATCCCTCTCCCTCAGGGCCAGAGCTCCAACCCCTTAATGCTTCTGCTCAATCCTTCACATGTATTATGCAGAGGCAAGATGAGAGTGGAGAGATTCTGCAAATGTTGGTCTCCAGGGCTGCATTCTGGTGTGGTATAAAAACTATCCAAGGCAAGCTGTAAATGAGGGAGGCTGAAGGCTGGAAACAAACTGCAGGAGTGCTGTGTTTTGCATCAGCAGTCTTGAGTAAAATTAATCCTTGTGGAGCCTTGTTATAATGCATCAGTATGGCTTCTCTTACCCATATATTTTATTTAGAAGTAGTTCAGGTATCTGCACAGTCCCACAGTGAGCAGTGCTGGTTTGTGCTGTGAGACCACACATATCTACCTGGGCTGCTTCAGTTAATGTAAGGGAGGGGTGGATTTAGCAGCAGATGAAGTCTGAGCAGAGCTGGGGCATCCCCACTGATTCTGTAGTTAGTTTAAGCTAAAATTTAAGTTTTGCCCATCTTGTACTGGAAACAATTATTATCAGGTGCTGTTTTGACTTCAAGGTAGCTGAGCTGTTAAGAAAAGCTTAATCATAGCCAGCAGATGCAGTGAGAAAAATGTTGAAATTCCAAGAATTCATTTAAGCTAAATCCCATCATTCTGGCAATCATCTTACACATTTAAGCTAATTGATGAGTTTATCACAGTACTGGTGAGCTAGGCAGAGGCCAGCTATGGTGAAAAACTACTGTCCAGGCACAGAGAGAGGTTTGATTAAAGTGGAAGCAGCTGAGGCAGGAGCTCCTGTGCTAGTGCTGCTTCCAGGTTTCAGCTCCTCTTCCAAGCAAAAGCCCTGGGTCCTCCCCATCATGGCAGATCAAGCTGAGTTTGGCATGGTACATGCTGCAGAGAGGGATTTTCGGGGTGCAAACTCCAGCACAGTGCATGGGGAGGGCCCTGTGAATAGTTCTGAACGTGCCACAGGGGACTGACTCTGTCTTTTCTGTCGGCCTGAAGCGCAGTGTCCAGAGGCAGCTCGCCTTGGAAGGAAGAATCATGGTGTAAGAAGGTTGCCTCTACTGGTGTCCGTAACTGGAACTCTCCACTAGGCAATACTGTTCATGCTTATGTCATTAATTCTATGTTTAAGAATCTACTCCATGCAAAACATAGGAAGTAACTAACACTGACCCTTTGAAATCCAGGTTTCTTCAGTAGTGATTCCACTGTGTCAGTCAATGCTATATCTCTGGTGTATCTCTCTGAAGCTTCCTTTTAACATCATTCTGAGAAATTGAAATGTCCATAGCATTATTGTATTTAAGAAAATAATTTACATCTAATTTGAAGCAATTATTTGAAGAAAAGTTCTAATAAGTTATAGACTCCAGTTATACATTAATAATATTCAATATATCAAAATACTGAGTGTTTTATACTCTGTCATAAAGAAGTATAGTCAAGTAGCATCCCTTTTTGCAGTCAATTTCATAAATCTACATCAGAGAAAAGTGCATTCCTAGTCCAATTAAATGTATGTAATTAAATACTTACATACAACTTACGACTTTGGGTTATAGAATTGTTAAGAGTTAATCCAAAACTGGGATTGTATTTCCAGTACATATATTTTATTCATTGTGCCTACAAATACTGTATACTTTCGAAAGTTAAGATGGAGAAACAAAGAACATATAATTTAGGAAAAAACAAAATCAGAACTATTTAGCCCTTAAAAGGTAGAGCTATAATTTGATTTCCCTGATTATGGTATATATGATACAGTCTCACAAATTGATGTTCTTAGTGTTACCAGCAGGTCAAGGTGATCCTTCCTTTCTGCTTGAAGCTGGTGAGGCCACACCTGCAGTGTGCTGGGCTCCCCAGTACAAGAGAGACATGGGCATACTGGAGACAGTCCAATGAAAGGCCATGAAGATGATCAAAGGTCTGGAGCATCTCTCCTGTAAGAAAGGCTGAAACAGCTGGAACTGTTTAGACTGGAGAAGAGAAGGGGGATCTCATCAGCGTATACAAATACCTGAACAGGGGGTGCAGACAGGAGAGAGCCAGGTCCCTTTCTGTGGTGTCCAGTGACAGGACCAGAGGCAATGGGCACAAACTGAAACACAGGAGGCTCCCTCCAGACATGAAGAAACACTTCTTCACTGTGAGGGTAAAACAGCAGTGGCACAGGTTGCCCAGGGAGTTGCCAGAGTCTCCCACCTTGGAGATATTAAAAAAAACCCCATAGTTACAGAATGTTTTCGGTTGGAATAGTCCTTAGAGCTCATCCAGCTCCAACCCCCTGCTATGGGCAGGGACACGATCCACTAGACCGGGTTGCTCAAAGCTCCATCCATCCTGGGGTTGAGCACTGCCAGGGATGGGGCAGCCACAGCTTCTCTGGGAAGGTTTTGACCAACATCTGAACATGGTACTGTGCAATTGGCCATAGGTTGCCCTGCTTGAGAAAAGGGGTTGGATGAGTTGACTCCCACGCATTCCTTCCATTCTGTGGTTCTGTAAAAGGGACAGGAGCTGAATCAGTCATTCCTGTGTTCCCAAAGAGCTAAAATAAATGTTCCCCCTGTTCTTCTTGCAGACATATGCTAATCACTGTTGGGTCTTCTCACTGATGAAAGTGGTGGTCAGTTCAGGTAACCATCATGTGTTCATGAAGCTACAGCCTTCCAGATTACAGTCATTGTTGCTCATGTCATCTACATCAAACCCACTTGCAGGGGAGCACTTCAAGATAAGAGGGATGGCACAGTTAGAGCTCATTAGTCCAGGACATCTCTCCCCAGGTGACAATTTACAAGGAGCAACTTTAATCTTCATATTCCCTAACTTGGAATACTCAGTCTTGCAGGCAATTTACACTTTAAAAATCTCTTAAAAAATAATGACATTATTTTAATTCCATTTAGTAGATCCACAAAGGACAGTCAGTAGCACTGATAGACTGTAAGTTACACAGCCTAGACTTCACTGGATGAGTTCAAGAATTAACTGGTAACACTTAGACCAGCTGCTTGGCAAAGATTTGAAGGACACCTTGGGGGTTGCTGAGATCAGAGTGTTAATCATGATCTGGATTACTGTAATGTGGATCATGTAATGTAGATCATGAGCTGTGGGTTCAGTTCTTGGTTCTGGACGTGAATCTTACTCTGATTTTCACAGATGGGCATGCAGTGCGTTTGGAGTGCTAAGTCAGCAATTTAGCAACGTGGACTGATTTCTATTGGAATATACAGTACTGAGTCAACTCGTTCCAGCAGAGCAGTAACAAAGCTGGCTTCTGCAGTTCTGCACTGGCTCTCTGTGGACCACCCAGGAGCAATGTGGGCTGGCAAAAACCAGGAGGCCAGGACAGAGGGAGGAGGATTTGGGTTAGGAATCGCAGGGAAGTGCACTTTGCACTGGACCAGCTGAGAATCAGAGAAACAAATTCCTTGGAGCTAAGAAGGTTTCCCCTCTGCCCACAATTTAACTGCTTATTTTCTCTTGTCAGAGGGTGATTTCTGCAGTGAACATTCACTGAGTTACGAATCTTTTCCTGACAGTGTGCTTGCCACACCCGGTATTTATAAGTTGCTTTAGAGGGGTCAAAGCATGCTCAGCACAGATGGGATGCCCAGTGATATTTTCAGCAAGTATCTATTAAATTCTGCCAATCATAATGTGTACAAATACCTTATATATATAAATAGTTATATTTATTGTATTTACATATAAATATATAAAAATGTAGATATAGAAAATGTATATAGAATACATGCGAAAAAGATATGTGTTTTAGAATCTTGTCATTTGCCCAGAATAGGTTTTTTCTCCATGGGCACAGCACAGATTTTGCTAAGTTGCCTTTCCCTACTGCTATATGTAAATATAAAAAGCACACTAAAAAAGCACCTAAAGTATTAGTTCAAGCTCTTGCAAAGTTACTGACATTTTTCCCCTCCTGTACTTCTCAGAAACAGCTGAACTGGCTGTACCAACACCCCAAAATCAAAACAGAAACATAACCAGCTAGAGTAAAGGAGGAAAATAGGCCTAAATGGTTGTGTTTGGCAACATATAAACCACTGAAAGCAAGAACTTAATGGGAAAACATTAGACAGAATTATCAGGATCACCTATCACGATCCACTGATCATGTAATAGGGTTAAAATGAAAATTGATGTTGACTACAATGAAATCACATTATGGTTTCATTTTGCATTTATCGGAAACATCTGGGAATGCTGGAATTTGTTCATATTTTATGTCTCCTAACTCTTATACCTCCTCCTTGAAGTTTCTGAGACACTAATAGAAGTCGGCAACTTTTATCCTTGCAGCAGGACTCCTGCCTACACCTAAATCAACCTGAATTTACTAAGAAATTAAAGGCATGCAATAATCCCTAGGAAGTGTCCAGCATTTTCTGTGACATTTAATCCTCTTTTAACAGCTTTGCAAGATGTGGTAGTTATTGCTAATAAGAAAACATTAGAGAAAAAAGAGAATGATGGGAAAAAAACCTTTATAGGGACAAAATTTTCATAGAGGTTGAGGAATTAATTTTAAAAGTATACTTTTGACTTGATGAGTGGGCTGGAGGTGCTTTTAACCATAATGGTATCATTTAAGCTTAAAATGTCTCTCTAAATTGGGCTATACAAATAGTTAAATTATAATAGTCATTATATAAGTATGTAAGTAGCGAAGCAGACTTCTGGATCTCTATGCTTATTTTTCTCTGTATATTGGAAGGTACATGCAGTGAAATCTTACACTCCAGGATATATAAAATGAGCATAAAGGGTGCAATCTTGCAAGCTGCTGGGTACTATGTCTCTGTTCCATGCCATGTTAAAACAACTGTCTGTGGTTATACCCTGATGGGTCTTGAGTGACATGTTTATGGTTAGAAAGTGTGCTTAAGTGACTTTTGGCTTGATTCAGAGGGCACCGCTTTACAAGATTAAGTCTGCATTAATTTGCAGACTTGCATTTGATGGTATATTTCAGCTTTCAGACTGTTCCCTTTTTGATCCTAATTATTTTTGCTTCCTTTTCAAATTATTTAGGTAGCTAATAAATATACATCCAGCGGTTGCTTCTCCAGTGAAGGATTACTTTGGCTGCCCTGTAGCTAGCAAAGAATGCTATATCACTTGAAAATGCTATTTTTCTGATGAGTTTTATGGAAATTACTTTAATGTTTCCACCCAAATGTATCTATCTGTCCTTAAAGACCTATGGTGTAATTTAGTTTGATGGTTTTCGTCTGCTACTAAAAATCTTTTCCTCTGTACCTTTAGCTGAAGGTGTGCTCCCCGAGCCGTCAGCTTGCCAGAGCTCGACTGGATTTAAACAGGGAAATGCAGAGGCTGAGAAATGAAAATGAACTGTCAGCAGCTTTTGAATCCAAAGTGCTGAACATTGCTGTGAGCCCAGAATAATAAGCTGCATTTCAAGACACAGACCCCGTGGATGAATTATATGTTCCAGAGCTGGTTCTGAGAACAACACTGGGGATAAGCTGCATGAGATGCTTGATCCAATTTGGTAGCAGAACACATGGCATTGTTTGGAAGTTACAGAAATATTTTAGCGAGGGTGGAGGGGAAGTAATGTTTATATCAGAGTTTGCAGTTTCACCTGGGGAGAAGAGTTTGCTTTACAGAATAAATGGCTAAGAAGTATGTATGTATAGGAAGGGGGTTTTGTCTCCTTCTCCAGTTATTCCTCACTCATTTAGGTTTGTACAATTGTTAGTTCTCTAAGTGCCTGTGGATTCCCCTGGGGTGCGTGTCACTCCAGGTGTTCATTCATTTGAATGTTCTTTCCTGAAAATTAAATTTTTTAACTGTGCCTTGTATTTATTGCTTTGTAATTTGCCTTTTTTTTTTAAAAATACCCCAACAAACTATGATAGTACCATGCAGTGCTTTAACTTCCATTTCTACATTGAAATAGCTGAAGGATCTGAGGACATTTCATAAATGCAGACCTGTCTAGGCAGTAAAGATCAATGCATATAAAATGTATGTAACTGTAAAGTTTAACATCTAGGCATAAAAACCAATGTCTGAAGGCACAGGAGACGCTGAATTATTAACCCTTTTATTGCATGCAGGGCTTTTTAAGAGCTTCTGGCATGGGCAAATTTTATATTCAATTTGGTAAACGTGCTGAGGAAAAACCATATTGTATTCTTCAGGATAAAATCTATTAGAAACTCTGTACCAACTTCTCAGTTATTTCTTAGAGAGGGCAGCAAGGACAGGCAGGCAGTTTGGTGCCTGGAGTTTGTTCATGCTCTCATGCTTCTGGGATTCTTTTGCAGATCTTGGGGCTTTTGTAGAGGTCCAAGAAACCTGCATCTTCTGAGCCAGTACTGGGATTGATTGCGTGTCAGAAGAAAACTAAGTGAAAACAGGAAAACCAGGCAGGTCAAGACAAATTTGGGCAGAGCAGGGCAGGCAAACCTCTGTTCCAAGACCTGCAAACTCAGTGAATGCCCAGCATTGCCTCTGCAGGTGGCTGAAGGAGGCAGAGAAGCCAAAGCAATTCATGTTCTGCAATTGTTCTGCTTCTGTGTTGCCTCTGTAAATGAACGTAAGTTTTATCTCAGTCTGGCAATGGTAGGCTCAACTCAACTGCAGTTTTGATGGGAGAAGCTAACAAGCAATTTACTTAAATGGGTACATATCCAAAGCCCAATTTGTTTCTGACTGATGGCAATAGTCGCCTACCTACTGGCTTCAGAGAAAGCTAGATGAGTATTACTCAGTGATGGTAATATTGCATCTCCTCTGATGTGCTGCAATTAAAGTAGTAAAAGTATTTGCACAGATCTAATTCCTTTACAGTGTAATGCAGCTTTTTTCTTTGCAAAAGATTTTGCCTTAAAATAAACCAGAAGGCCTATTAGTGTATCTTCTATAATAAAAACCTGGCTGTTGATCCTTACTTCATATGAAAATTGGCATCAAAAATGAGAACAGGGAAAACATTCATATAGGGGGAACAAAAAAAAGTAATTCAAATTTCTTTAGAAATGCAGACATCATGGTAACAAAAATGGTGAAGACTGAACAGCAAAATTAATATGATAAAGAAAACCTAGTGTTATAGTCTGGATAGTTGAACTCCACAGTCTAAGGACAGAACTAATGTAAGATCCATTCTTAGCTTAAGAATTTTAATATGGCAGAGGATGATAGACCTCTGAATTTTCTTTAGAGAATTTGAAATGGTGTATTCATCCTGGTGTCAGATTTTAGTGGAAAGGCTTTAAGAGGTGCATATATCCTTTAAGAGGAGGATATCAACTCTACAGATTATGGCCTCACTGAAGTGTGGCTGGTTACTTTAAGCACAATGGCATTTGGGTGAGATAATATTGCCTTTTGCTACCCAAATATGATATATCCTGTAGATAAGAATAACGTCTACTACTTAGATAAGGCTTCTTTAGAACTACTATATATGTCCTTTGCTAAATCCTGTAGTGCTTAATACTTAATGCTTCTACATCTTCAATATTTCATCATGTTATTAAAGGATGCTATGTAAAGAAGATTTGCATATGTAAAAATATGCAAAGTGCATATATGTAAAAATATGCAAAGTCCATATATTTAAAAACATATGAAAAACCTTGTGTTCCAAGTATGTGGAGATGCTGATCAATAGTTTTGTGCACATCGTAAATAGTTGCATCTAATGGTCAGTCATTTTTGTTATCTACTTTAAAGAAACTCATGCATTTCTTGAAAGCAAACTCATGAGCCTCCAAAATACATATGGATTTGTCTTTTCTTGTCATTGCTGGTCTTGCCGTCTAAGTGGTAATCTCATGGTTTTCAGGATGATCAGTCTTACACACAAAATATCAAAGTAGTCTAGAAGTGATTAACAACAAGTGCTTGAGCTTTAAGAGTTCAGTAACCAGTTATTTATAACACTGCTTTTTCTACCCTTATCTACTTTGCAGTTAACCTTACCACTACTCCTTTTTCATTTCAAATGTCCCCTGTTTGTTCAAAAAGGAATGGGGAAAACCAGTGTAATGCAGCCCTACTGGCATATTAAAAGCTTTGGTTGCCTGCATCCACAGGACTTACTTGTATGTGTGTGTAGCACTGGGCTTACTGGCAGTATACTCCACATCTCCAAACCCTCTATGCAGAAGCAGCGCTGAAGTACTGCCTTCCTGGTTTGCCTTCACATTTCCTTGGCTGATGCTATGTTAGCATGAGGCTTTTATTTGCCCAGGATGATGCTTAATTTTGTCCATGTGTAGAGGTGATAAAGTACTTGGATACACTAGAGGACATTTTCCAAACACCACATGGTGTGTTTATGATGTGTTGACATTTTTTAGAGAGTGGTGAAAGATCATTGCAGAGATATGCACGGCGCTGGGTAGGTAGCAGAGAATAAACACCGAGAGATATGAGAGACAATGGATATTGTGGTTGGTGCCATATTTTCATGCTTCATGTTGGCATTTCTGGAAGGGTAATGGTGTGACATGGTGAGATCAAGTCACTCTGCAGAGGTGTGGTATACAGCAATAGCTCCAGAACATCTCTATGAAAACATTAGACAGAGGTGACTGAAGGCAGCTTGCCCCAGTCACCTCTAGTGCCCCAGGACCTCCTCCCAGTGGTACTCCTCTTAGTAGTCCCCCATTTGTCTGGACAGGGCATCTTCCCACACATATCAGGATGTCAAAGTTGGCCATCAAGGGGAGTGCACAGATAACTCACCAGCACTTTCAGCACTTCCAGAAGTTGTCAGTCACCTAAGAAACAGCATGGTCAGTGTCTCAAATTTGTTTGAATGCAGGTTTCAAAAGTGGCATGTAGAGATGATGTGCCTTACTGCAGCCTGCTGAAATCTGCTAACACCACACAGAAAATAAGCACCAAACAGTGCAAACTGACTTACCTGAGTGTGAAAGCTGTCCAGGCCCAGGATGAAAGAAAGCAAGGGTGATAGTGGGGTTAATATTATGTCAGTTCTGTTTTAAGCAGCAGCTGCTAAAACATGTTGTTCGTGGATAGTGAACATGGGCTTTTTGTTACTGATGTTTAACCATGTTTTCAGTGCTAATTTTGCTCAGTTCTTTAAACACCTGATGTGAGGAAACAGGTAATTCACATGAGGTTTATTGAATCTTGTTAATCTGATGAAAGATGTTGGGAGGACTGATTTATTCTCTCTATTAAATAACCACTTACATACAAAACTCGCTGCATTCTGACTGGGAACATGCAGATGTGTTGGTTGCTTGCTGATTTTTTAATACTTACATGAAACCTTTTGGCAAAGTCACAGGAGCCTTTCTGTTTTTCATTTCTGTTTTTCACAGTTAAGCAGACAGCAATGCACGCTTAACATTAACATAAACAACACAGAGCTTTATTAGGCGTAGAGGCATGTGCAAGAGACAGCTTTAGAAAAATACTTTCAAGATGTGCTAATCATTTACAAGAAGTAAATATGTTATGGCACTGTAACCAATGAACAGACAAGGTCTTCAGAAAATGCGCAGGCTGTAAAACATGCTGCAATGCAACTGTGCGTGAAAGATGGCAAAGCAGTCTTCAAGGGAATGTTTGTGTCTGTTTGTCACAGCTCAGCATCACGCTTGGTCACCAAGGCCAAATGAAGCAGCTCTTTGGCATCCCTTTCTGATGTCAGGTTGCTGAGCCCAGGCCAGGTCATCTCTGCCCTGTGTTCCAGTGCAGGGTGCAAGGAGCTCAGCTATTCCCAGGCTCCTGCAAGCAAAGGCAGTAGTCTGCCTGCTCAGAGCCAACACAGACCACTAAGTCTGATCCCCTCTGCTTGTACGAGCAGCTAAGTACCATCCCACCTTGGAAGTTTCTGCCTTTCCAGACCTCCTGATACACATTCAGTGTGTGAAAACCCTGTCGTCCAGTTCAGATCTCAGTTAGAAAAAACAAGTCTGTAAATTTTAGTAGGAGTTTTGACAAAATATGTGGGGACTAATTATGCAAGCGACTATTCCAGCAGATTGGAGAGGTCATATCCTCTGAGAGCGCGAGTGGCGGTAGGCAGCAGTGGTGGGATGTCTCTGATGGCATCCCTGCCTGCCAATTGTGTCCTACTCACACCAAAAATGTGAATGCCCTTCATCTGATTCTGACTGAAACTGTTCTTACCCTTAAAAATGAAAGAAATCTTAATGCTTCATTTATGTCAAATATTTTTTTTTGGTTTGGGCTGTGATAACACCTTGAGGATTAAAGACAAAACAAAATTGTCAGGTTTTCTGATCAGAAAATACACTTGTTTTTCTTTCTATTGCTTGAAGGAGGTTTTGAATTACACGCAAGTCTAAATTTCTCTATTCAAATGGGCAGATGTCAACTTTTTAAAGAAGAAAACCTCATCTATTATATGTACATTATAGTAGTAGGCAGCTGTGTCCTTGATGATTATGTAGTACTGACCTTGTGTAGGCTGAGAGTCTGTGAGTGGATGGAGCATATAGCACATATTCCTTCAGGGTAAGGGCTCCACAGAGGAGCGCTTGCACTGTGCCTGTGCAGGACAGACCCCATCAACACCAAAGCTGCCTCTGACAGTGCTCGCTTGTGTGACTGGGTTCCACAGGAACGGACCTCTGGGCTTCTTCCATTAACCACTAATGTATGGAAACACCAGATATAATTCCAGCTCTGTCTTCAGTCTGCTAGAAGTGATTTCATACTGTGAGCTGTATGCACAGGGTGAATAATGGCTTTTTGCCCTCTGTGCTTGGTTGAGAAAAAATAATTCCTACACAAGCCCGCATTTACATGACACCCAATATACAGTGCCATCTTTCAGCTCTACCAGTTTTGTACTCTTCCCCTTCCATTTAGC